GAGGACGGACAACTTCGAGCGAAAAAAATATATATATACAGTAAAAAATCTAAGAAATCTAAAAAAAAGTTTAAAAATTTAATAAAAATAAACGTTTCAGTCAAAGACCTTCATCAGTTGCAGTGCCTCTAACTATATATATATATATATATATATATATATATATATATATAGTTAGATATAGCTCGCTGGCATACAAAGCTCTGCTTTCATGTCCAGTTTGAGCACTCTACTGGGATGAGCCGTTACTGTTAAAATGGCGTATGCTCACTAGCTCGCTAGTTTGAGTACTCTGGTAATGGCTTAGATACTACCACATGTGTAGTATTTGGGGCGGCTTTTAAAGCTTAGCCTCCATCCTAGTCTTCAGCACTGCACTGATGAGGCCCAGAAGGCCGAAACAATACTGTCATTTTAGCGAACGAGCGAGCAACTCAGATACTAGACAAGGTAAGATGTATTAAAAAACAGATGTATTTCGAACTACTTTATGTTAGTGGCATTAAGTTCACCAATTAAGTTCTCCGAAAGTGTTTTTCTGGTGTGAAATTTCGTGCAAAGATTGAAATTGTACTGCAAAAACAATTTCTGTCAGTCGTTGCGAATCACTCGAAATCAGAGTTTTCTACCGTAAATTGAGTAGCAGATAGCGAGGAAATTCGTTAAGTGTGTTCCACAGAAATTCTCTCAAATACAGCAACGATCAGAGAGGTAAACTCGACTGAAATTGAGTCATTTTTTAATTAAAATTGTATAGAGAGAGACAAGCAGGATTACTCGCCATTACAGCGCCGAGCTACAAACAGCCAAACAAACTCTCACAACTTCAAAAAACTCAATTGAATTTACTTACACTGACTTTCCTTGCCATTTAAAGGTGAATAGAGATAAACTTGCGTTGATTAATCGTCGATGGAAGTGTAAAAAGGGCGAAAAATTGATTACCGCTAATTCGTTCACGAAAATAGATCAACTCGACGGATTCCGCCCGCTGTCATAGGCGGATTTAGGGGAGGGGCCGAGGGGGCCGCGGCCCCCTTTTTTTTTTCTTGTTTTTTCAAAACGTGTTTGTACGACCCCAACCCTTCTAACCGTTCTTTGAGAGTTGTTATAATTATACAATCAGGTTCCAATTTTATTCAATTTCGGAGCTTTCCTTATTTAAAATATATTTGGTGTTGGCAATTATAATATATTATCAAATATTCAAACAAACGTAACCCAAAATTAAAGTTTGCGCTAATTGTTAACGCCAAATGTAACATGCGTTTCTTTCGGTTTGAAATGACGAGGGACACTGGACACGAATATTGTCACGCCGTGTCCCTTGTTGCACTGCTGAAGAGTGAAATATTTTTCTGATGTTTTCGAGGAAAGCAAAGACGACACTGTTTACATTTCATCGTGATGTACGAGGTGAGTACGTTACTTATTTGACCTAAGTTAAAAGTAATGTTTTTTTTTTCTTTTTTTAGATCTGTATCTGTCTGTTAGCGGGCATCGTTCGAGCTCTGCCTGGGAGACTTTGTTTGGTGATCATCCGCCCCAGCAAAAAGGCAAATGAAGTAAAAATGTTAAACTTTAGCTTGTATTAAAGCACTCAATGTAATGATCTGTCGCAAAAGGTTTTGCGTAAATTGATTTATAATCCTGAGTTAATTTCTCGATAGAAAATTCTGACCGAAACGATTAGAATCATTACAGAAATAACAGTTTGCTGATGATGTTTCAAAAATGGATCAGTTGTTTCTATTTGTGCCAGGTGAAAGCGAGTTTTAAAGAGCAAGCTTAATTATCATTCGGTGCTTTTATAATAAGTGACGTTTCCCTTCTAGAACGTTTCACCGTAGGACTCAGCCGTTCGTCACGGGGTTTCGCACTGAATGTTATTGAGGCAACAAGCATGTTAACGTTGCGAAGGAACAGCTGAAAGGTATGCGCAGGAATGCTAAAACAACATTTGCAAGTTCTGTGTATGAAAAGATCAAGAAGATGACTAAGAAGGCAAACGTCAAGGTAAGCATCCCTCGAACTTTTGGTAGGCAGACATTAAGAAACAACACCAATGCCAGGACACCAGTCGCCTACTTTCGACGGGCAATATTTCTTCCTTTCCTTGACAACTTGTTGGAACAAATAAATACCCTCTTTAATGGACGATCAGAAGCGGCATTGCTTGGATTGGAGTGCTACTGATACCTGCCAACTTACAGCAGCTTAACGAGTCTTCTCAAGAGAAACTTATTCAACATTATTCCCTTGATCTGCCGTCCCCAAGTAGTGCGTCGCAGGATCTGGAGCTGTGGAAGTGCTTCTGGTACGTTATTCTGCGTTAATACTATACATGGGTTACCAAGTTTATAGTGAATCTGTGGTAAGCTGAAAAAACCGATAATACCTTGTCTTGAAATGTGTTAATTCTTGCTTTTATTTTTAGGAACAACGCAACCGTAAAATTCACGACACTGCAAGACACATTGAAAGCCTGCAGCTCAAGCCTCTACCCCAATGTCCACACAATTTTGCGCCTCCTGTTAATCACCCCAGTTACAAGTGCAACTGTTGAACGTAGCAACTCTTCACTGCACTTTGTGAGGAATATTCATTGCAGCACCGTGGGAGAGGAACGTCTAAATGCACTGTTGCTGCTCTTTATTCACAAAGACATACCTTTAAATTATAATGCAGCTGTTGACGAGTACACCAAACGAAACCAGAGAAAGATGACATTCATCAAACCGCTGCATTGATTTATTTCGATTAATACTGGATATATAAAGGCAATGCAGTGACTGTTAACAGTTCGCCTACCACTAACACTACGACTTTGCTTTGAAAATCGTTTTTATAAAATGCTCTTTAATTCTATGTTCCGAAACGTTAACGTTACTTTACTTTCACGAATACGCCCACAATCATGCATGCTGCATCTCCTGAAAAGTGAAGGTTTCATTCGGGGGGCAGGGGAGGGTGGAGGACTCGGCCCCCTCTTTCTGAATTTTCTGGATCCGCCCCTGGCTGTGGCGGTCCGGATGAGAAAATTCCGCCCGCTCCCGGAACCAATCAGATTGCAGGATTTGTTGAATTCCGCCCGCTCACGAGCTGAGAAAAAGATAAACATTACTATTAATCCGCAGGGATCTAAAAGTCGTTTCTTTGTTCTCATTATCAATAAAAAGGATCCTTGTTGTGTGGACGACAAGTTTAAAGGTTAGGCTGACGCACCCATTGTCTTGGTTAATACGCTTGAAAAGTTTTTGAAAGAATGTTTGGAAATCGTTGAATCTCACCTTAACCCTGTGCAGTATTTTATTCCTTGATTGGTAATGGCTTGCTTGGCAATGTCAAGACTTGCCAAGTCTGTGATCCTTGCTAATTGTTCTCCCGTTCCTTTGCACTTGTTGTCTAAGTTACTTCCTTTACACTCATCATTGCTGAGGTGGTAAGTGACAGAGGCACAGTGATGCAGCTCTATCGAATAAATAAAATTAAAAAAAAAAACATTTGTAAACGCTGATTCCAAAGTACTCGATCGATCATTTGAATCATTTAAAGGCCGCGTAATGAAAGGTTAAGCAGTTCAGTCTAAACAGAGTCCCAAGTTTTAATAACGATACTGAATATTTCTCTTTTATTGTATGACCCTTACAGCCCCGGGCGCAGTTTCCTTGGAAAACCATAAGAAAAAAAGGTCCCGTATGAGGGCCGTACGCGTCGAAATGATAGGGCCGGAAAAACACGTACGGCCCTACTAGAAACTCGATGCGAGTTAATGATGAAACAATTTTGCGGCTGCAAAATTTCATTCTGTTCAAAATGAGTGATGAAAGTGAACTTTCTGAGAGCGAATTTTACTATCCAGGCGAACGGTCCGATGCAGAACTACTTCAGTCGTCAACTCACTCCGAAAGTACAGAAAAAAAGTCAACACTCCTCGCAACTGAAGAGGTTCACAACTTTCTCAGAAGTCAACAACGAGCAAACAGGCGGTCAAGAAAACAACTTTTCCGGATGAACTGTCCGATAGTTAACCTTCGGAATAAGCAAACGGTCTTGAGGCGAAACGTTTTTCAGTGGAAAACATCAGAGAATTCATCATGGGTCAACGGCAAGGAAACAGGCAAGTCGTGATAAAAACAAAGTACGATATAAATGTTTTCTTCAAGTTTCCAGAGTTGTGAGAAGCGAAACCACAAACATACCTTGTGTACAGTAGGATAAATTGTTCTGCAGTTTCTACATCAGGGTCGTTTGAAGAGACAAAACTCAGTACGAACACAAGTTCATTACCGTACAGTTCATCCAGATAATAAAACTCGCTTGTGTTTAATAGTGTAATTTCCACTACACGGCAAAGCAAGCAAAGTCAGCAAACCCAGACAACGTTTTCGGGAGTCAACATCGGTGTCATTAATATTCAGTTGCTGTTCTCCCTTCTTCAAGCGAATCCAAGAGGTCGACAATAAAAATTGCTTGAAACGACGCCGACATTTTCTTGAGTCTTCGGACGAAGAAGATTTAATTTGTGAACAATTTCAGGGACGAGTGAAGCGAACTTTTGTCACTCGCTAAGTTTTTGATGGTTTTGACATATTTTTGACAGCTTTATGCTAACTTTCTGTTGGTTTTTTAAACAGGTTAGCCGATCCCGTTAGCATGAATTGTAATTGAGGACTTACATTGAAAATCAAAATGAGAAAACAAATCGTTTTTTTTCGATGAATCGTGAGTTTCTTGTTCGAAGCGAAGAAATAAATGACAAGTTTTTATTGTAGAATCTTAATTGTAGCTGTTCCGCGCGCGGTCGTCTGATGCTATGTAATCGCGTCCTTTTTAGCTTCAAACAGAATTTTCAAAATTTTCAGGTCATATGATAAAATGCTTATTGACTGAGTTACGTCGGGCCGAACGGGAAAATTTTTGTCTCTCGGCCAGGAAGTACGGACCTCGAGCCCAATTTTTTCCCGCCCGGCCCTCCCACTCAGTCAATAAGTACATATTAATCTGTATGTCAGAAAACTCACGGTTCACTTAGAAGCCAAATGCGTAACATAATTTCGATTTTCGGTCTTTTTACATGTATTTATAATATTTAATTACTTATCATATCGTCTGTTAAATCTTTGAGATTAATCTTCAAGTGTCATGTGCAGGTAATGTCAATACGTTTTTTGGCTAAAGTTAATATTCTTCAGGTACATAGGCAAGGTGCAAAAATAAATTCAGCGCGTTTTCCTCATCATGATATCATGATACTCGCTGTATAAGCCGTAGATTCGACACACGTACTTTTTAAAGTGCAAATGACTATTTTTGATTTCACATACTAAGGCAGATTGAAAGCTTTACTTTCATGACTCATTCACTGCGAATCAGACAGTGAAATTATATAAAAGTCGCTGGCAGAACTTTGGTGAGAACGAATAGAGCTTCCCCTTGGAAATTAAATTAATTAAGTCGCATATCGCCCAAGAAAAGAAGATTTCGTGCTGGTTCTGTTTCTTTTCTTTCTAACATTCTCGGGTTAATCTGCGCAAAATTTTTGAGAAAAAATAGATTTTCAAACTGGTCTATTCAATAGTTTTAAAGTTGCCAGAAGGATGCTAATGAAGATTCTTGTTTGCTTTCATTCTGGTGCATGACGCAACTAAGCAAGGTAGAATTTTCTTGACTAGCTAATAAATTTGAATAGTAGTTACTTATAGAGTGGTTCGCGTAGCTTATGATAAGAGGAAGTCCAACCCATACTAGGTAAGAGTGGTTACTCACCTCCGAGGAAAATGCTGATTTGAAGAAGCAGCAAATGAATGTTAATCAACTTTCTACACGTAGAAAAGTTCATGCTTTCAGTTAAAAAGACGCGTTTTTATGTAGTCTCTATGTACACTAAGAAAAACAGAATTATTGTGGTTGTTTTTGAATGCCTATTTGTTTGGTTTGTTCTTTGTACAGAGCCGCTCCATTTGTTCCTTGTTTCCGTGCGCGTTTCCTATGTTAAAACGTAAATGTTTTCTCCTAAATATATAAATATATTCAAGGTAGAATAATTTAAGTGACATTGTTTAAATGAGAAATGTTGACAGCTCTTTGTTATTTTTCAAGTGAGGCTATTGTATTCGTCAAATAAGGCGCTTTTTAAGTAAGTATTGAATGGCGTCCAGTCAAAGATTGGCGGAGTACAATACTTTATATTCCTTACGTTTTCGGCTGTGAACCTTTTTCTTTTATACTTTTCCTCTGTTTCCTCTGTGAGGGTTAACGTAATCGATAATCACGTAGGCTGGAAATATTAAGTGATATAACGCACACATGTTGAAAATTAAAGTGATTGTTTTATCTCAATTTTCTCCAACGGAAAATGAGCTTACGTGATGGGGAGTTAATTTAGGTTCCAAGACGACGGAAATTTGTTTTCCAATTTAGTACGTTTAAAGCTTTGTAAGCAGCATTGTAAATTCAAGTTTGACTATGCTTTTGACGAGTTACGATATTAACCATTAGCTTTTTCTGTTTTCCAGCCGTCCTATCAGTAAACAACTCTGTTTTTGTAGATTACGACATCTTAAAACAAGTCACGTCGAAGTAACAAATCCCAAGGAACAGAAATGTTTAACTTATTTAGGGGGCAATGTGAAAAAAAGATCTCAGAATCACAACGGAAGGACAGAGCTGTAATTACCTCGGGCGCCTTCCGGCCTGCGTGATCGCACGGAAAATACAAATTAAATATAGACATGCACCTGCATGGTAATTTTTCCTTCATTAGATAACAGCACACAAATTTACATCTTGACTGTTTATTATTTCTCTTCAGTTGTTAAGGTTGCAGCATCAGGGCGGGTTCACAGGGAGTCTGTTGTGGAGTCTTGACACTGTTGCAAATTTGTCAAAGATTATTTTTCCGTCTTTGTCGAATTGTCATTAGATATATTTAATGGATATTTCGTGGGCTTCTTTATTATGTTAATATAGTTTCTCAAATTTCGAAACCTTTATCACTTTGGTGAGTTTAGTGCCTCAGGAAAAGCATAGAATCGGAAAAGTAACTTTTCGAGCAAAACTGAGCAAAAAGACAAAGACAGAAAACAAAGCAGTACGGTGGAAGGAGAGACCAAGGGGATGTGCAAACTAGCTGTCATTTTTTACGTCACTGAAAAACATTTCACCCGGCTAAATATCGGGTCAGTCAAACAACCTAGATCTGGCGCAAATGCATGTGTTTTGTTTTTCAATTGCCACACTAATCAAGCCCATCCCACCTTAGGTACTAAGGTAGCAGCATGATTATCAGACTTTTAAAAGACACTTCCCTGACCGGGATTATTAGAAAGGTTTTGTGTGAGTTGGAATTGATTCTGTCTGATTCAACTGGGGAAGGTGTCCTGAAAGCATTATTGGAGATAGACCATTTATGACGTTTATAAAAACTGCTTTCAATTCAACCTCTGTTTTTAAGCTACTTCTAGTAGGTTTGTTTTAAAATAATAATGAAGAAAGTACTGTTTTATCTTATTTACACTCCCTTTAATTTCCCTAAAAAAGAATAAACATCAAAAACAATTCTGAGGCTTTATTTATTCACATGAGTCTACAGTGCGTGCTGCTAGACGATTTTCTCCTCCCCAACCAACAGATGTTAATAAACACAAGCTATTGAGGCACGCACAGTTTCCTTAGAATTCGGATATTGTTTTATTCAAAAGCAAGCTCTCTGTTTTGTGAACCCAGCTTGCACATGGACGTCAGAAAACATCTGAAGGGAATGTGAACTGTGGGGATCACGAGATTCAAGAGACAAATCAGCTTTTTTTCGTCAACAATTTTTTTTTCGAAGGCCTGTCAAACTTTTCTATTGTCCATGACGATATTGCCTCATTCTAGGCATTAATGCTATGTAATATTTAAGAATATAAATAATATGATCGATGTTGAGTTAATTGGCATCGTTGAGAAATGATGGGAAATAGTGTGGCAATAATTCATCGGAGGCTTTTACCTTAATAATTAACGAAATTAAAATTTTCCAAAAAAACAATTAACATATTAAATTTAAAGAAAAAGTTCATTTTTTCAGCGTAGATACGTGGCGTATGGCAACGTATAGTATATCACACTTCCCCGTAAGGAATGTCATTACACCACCTTTCAGTTCCTTTCATCCAACTCCATCTAACTTCATCGCTCTTCATTCACCGTCTAACTTCTTGCAACATAGTTCACCTTCATCTAAATCAGTTTGGCTTCACCTAACTTCACCAACTTTCCATTCACCCCCCTAAACCTTCCTCTAGCTTCATTCAACTTCATCTGACTTCAATCAACTTCATTCACCTTCATCCATCTTCATTTAAATTCATTTACCTCCATCTAACTCCATCCACCCTCATCCATCTCCATTTGCCTACATTTGACTTCATTCACATCGATCCATGCACCTCCATCTGACTCCAACCATCTTTATCCACCTTCATTTAACTTCGTCCATCTTCATTTGCTTTCATGTGACGTCATCCACCTTCATCCACGGTCACCTAACGTCCTTCACCTTCATGTAACTTTATTCACCTTCATCAAACCTCATTCACATTAATTTACCTTCATCTAACTTCATTCATATTCATGCACCTCCACCTAACTATATCCGACTTCATCCACCCTTTTTTGACTTCATCCACCTTCATTTGCCTTCACCCAACTATCGTCTAACTTTCGTCTATCCACATTCGTCTAACTTCATTCACCTTCAGCTAGCTTCATTTACTTTCACATATCTTCATTCACATTTATTCACCTTTATCTAACTTCATTCACATTTGTTTGCCTTCATCTGACTTCATCCACCTTTATCCGATCTTCACAGACTCTCATCCACCCTCATCCACCTTCATCTGACCTTTATCTAACCTCATTCATCTTCGTCCATTTTCTCTAACGTCAACCATCTTCATCTACCTTCATCTAACTTCATCCTCCTTCATGCAACTTTGTTTAACTTCCTCCGACTTCATTTACCCTCAACTAACTCCATTCACCTCCATCCACTTTCATCCACCTTCATCTAACTTCCTCCATCTTCCTTTGCTTCATCTGGCTTCATCCTCCTTCATCAGTTCGCCCAGGTGAAACGAAAGCTCGCCTTCCAGCAATAAATAGTTTACAATACGAGAAAATTCGTCTACGGATCTCAAGGGCAGATTTGTCTCTAGTGAGCATGGATGCTTTTATAATCTTGAGTAGCAGTTAAAAAAATAGCCACATTGGTACATTCAAGTAATTTAATGAAACATCAAGCCTATTCCACCTCAGATACTAACTTCAACAGAATTATGACGTCAGGCCTGGAACGAAAATTTCCAGAGTGGGATTACTTGATTCGGATTATTTCAACTGGAGCGAGTGTCCTGAAAGCATTCTTCGAGCTAGATCATGTATGGCATTTAAAAGACAACCTGCAATTCAAACTCTGTTCTTAAGCTACGCTGTAGCGGTAGTAATTTTTTTTAAAAGGAAATTAATACCTTTTTTTTTATGCTAGTTTTGAAATAGGCAAGGACTTACATTTTATTGGCTTACAAATATCTGCCTTTATTGGCTTACTAATCTCTGCCTTTAAGATTTATATTTTATTCTTCATCGATGTCTAGTCATAGTCAATTTCTCAGGACTGAAATTTTGAGACAGGCTTCGATGGGTTGATTTTGAGAAACACCACATGAAAACTACTTGTGCCCAGTCTTCCCCTGAGCACTCGGTCAATCGTTTTGGCTATTTATTAAGCTTTGTATTGTTCAAGTGGGTGAAAATAATGGTAAAACACTTGAGGAAACAGCAATCACATAACGGAAAATTCAAATGTGCAAGTTAGACTCTTACTCCTTCAAAACTGTAGCAAGCCAGCTTTGAGGGTGGCTTTTACTGGGTGGTGTATGAGCATGAAATAAGCATGCGCATAAGCAAGAGCGTGATCACGAATATAGGCAACAGAGTTAGATCTAGAAAGGCGCTGTTAAATAACACCTTTAGTATGCAAAATCTTTCCATAAGACGCTAATTATCAACATTTTACTCCGTCTCCATGCGATGCTCTTCCCCAAGTCTATGTTGGTCTGTTTAGTAGTGATAAATAGGCTCCAAATAGGAAAAACATTTTCAGTAAACGCCACATTTGTGTGACTGCACAGAACTTATACGTTTACTGGGGCGAGGCAGCTTCTTCTGATGTCCATTCGATCGGAGTTGACTGGCGAGATCTGATGTCGTCTGAACATTGGATTAGGACTCTCTGTGCTGTTACACAGGTTACCCATGGCATGCTTTTCCGACCATACGCTTGAGTTTTCTGCCACTGAGCGAGGGCCCGGGAGGTTGCTTTTCTTTGCGATTTCCCATTTGTGCTTCTTTCGAAGATACGCGTTGCGAAAATCAGTACTTCGGAGAACATGCATTATGAAGATGAAGAAACCCTGCAAGGAAATGTGCTTCGTTTGAGTAAAGTGTGAACGTAACCTTATAGAAAGCCAAAAAAGTTGTTCGTTCTTGGTTTTTATATACTTAGTAACATTATTTCTTCAATTTCCTACAATAAGAAATATACATATATGTGAGCGCTTCTTGAGAAGGACTCGCTCCACTCAAGTGATCGCTACTAATGGTTTGACTATATTCTGGCAGACGGTCTGCCTTCTCCTACCGATTATTAGGTAAATCCAACTTAGAGACATCATATTCATTATTCCACTAACTCAAGTAGAGTGGCCTTCTAGCCCAGATGGAGAATTTTGTTTATCTGATAGAAAAACGAGTCCCAGATACAGGACTCGTGACTTAAGACTTAGAACGAATTAACAAATTGACGTCAGTTTTTTATGCGTCTGTCCTCTAATTGATGATAAATTGCGTCATGACATTGTCAAAGTGGCTGTGAAACCACGAGCCGCAGGCGAGTGGTTCCGCAGTAAACTTTGACAATGTTATGACGAAATTTATCATCAATAAGAGGACAGACGCAAACATAATTGATGTCAATTTTTTTTTTACAATAATGGTCAAATGCCGGCTAAAATGGTCAAATGCCGGCTAAAATGGTCAAATGCCGGGAATAAATGAGGGGGGAAAAGACGCGGTTAACTTGCCGTAAACAAAGATAAGTGAATTTTATTCAAAACGACGCGAACATTGTCAATAGCTTTCTCGCTTTTTGATTGGCTACTTAAAAAATTCAACAAAATCTCATTCGTTAAAAAGGTGACAGTTTGACAGCTGAAAGTTGAACTTGAAAGCTTGCATGAATTAAAATTTTATCCGTCTGTTCTCTTATTGATGATAAAAATGAGCCAATCAGCGCGCGAGAAATTAGACAGTTATTGTAAAAAAAAAAAAAAGGTTAATACAATACTTTATTATAGAACCACTTCTGGACACTAAAACTGTCCATGAACATGATCATGCTTTTTTGTCTGTTGTTAGTAAATGTCGAAGAAACACCGAAAAATAGAACTTCCTCGTTACCTGAAGCGAATTGAGGATAGTAAAGATGTACTGAAAGACAAGTCCAGCATCAGTCACGCTTAAAAGACCAAACACCCAGGTCATACCCAGTAGAGGAAACAGAACTGCACATGCCTTTAAACCTTGCCTTTAAATACAATAAAATATAGCGTTAACATAAAATTGGTTTTGCATTCAAAAACGCATGATAGTTCTGGATTTTTGAAGATCACAAAGATTGAGGAATAAAGTTTATAAGCAACTTACTTGACGTTGGAGGTATTTTTTTTACCCTGCATCTGTGACATCTCATACACAACGCGACAAAGAATAAAAGAGTTTATCTGAAGGATTAAGGAAAAAAAAACACCCACACATAAGAAACGGGCAAGTCAAGGATAACTACTCAAGAGCTTTGTAGAAATCAATTATTTAAAAATTAAACATTGTTCTCAAAATTGCAGGCTTAGACAAATTAGAAATGGCTAAAATTAAAAGCTTCGAAAGGATTAAGTGTATTTGTAGATATCTGCTTGCTTATTTTAGTACACTTCCTAAGATACTTTGATCTCAAATTCAAATGTTGTGAAGAGGAGTTTGCCTATAACCTGATGCTGCGAAGTGTCGGGACCATACTGATATCATAATGGGAAAAGCCGTTTAAGTTAGCTTTGTTATTTTAAAGGAATCGAACAGGATTGAAACAGCTTGTAAAATCTACAATTTTTGGATGATACGGCTCATCAAATTTCACTAGTCCTCTAAGCAACAATCAAATGTTGATTTTTTCCAATGGGACACTCCCCGATGTTGAAAGTGGTGACATTTGATATGGCTGTTATTACAAGAATCGTCGATGAGTCATTTTCTATTGAGAGAATAATTTCTTTTTTATTCAATTAATAACTATATGCTAACTGGGTTCATAGAAAAAAGAAAATCTTTAATTTTTACCAGGCAGACCACGAGCACTGGAGCGGCAAAGGTCCAAACCAAATTATTTGAGAATGAAACCCAACAGCTGCAAAAACAAGATACGTTATAAACGACACACAAAAAAAAAAAAGAAAGAAAGAAAAGAAACAAACAAACAAATAAGAAAACAGTCCGATTTCTGTTTTTACGATTGGTAAAACACATTTCCTATAACGTTTACTTAGTCCTTAGCTAGTTGTGTTGTAATATTTATCTACGGTTTAGTTACACCCTAAAATAATCTTCGTTGTTCAGTTGTCAAGCCATTGTTTTATAAGCTTGATTCCAGTCCAGGGGCCAGAATTAAAAAGGTAAATGGAGTCGTGCGATAAGATAAATGTCAACAATTTCTTCTCAACAGCAGACAATTACAGCAACTGCAGCTGTGTTTGAAACAGATACTTATATATATTATTAAGAAACATATCATCCCAACTTGGTCGGCCTCGTGAAACCGGCTCCAGCCTGAAAGCCAGTAAACCTACTGAGCTTTCTCTTGTTGTAATTTAAATGGTCAGATACTTACTAGTTACTATGCACATAGCTTGTAACTCCGTCTTCTGTGCTAGAAGCGATCAAAATTGAACACACCACCATAAGCAATGGGAAGCCTGCCAGAAAAAAATCAAAGTAATGCACTGATCAGTTCTGCGGAATTTTTTTCGTTACAATGTGCGTATAATCATCCAATTAGTGGACCAAAATATATTATGGTGCGATGCTGATTTGATGACGGACATGAAATGTTTTTGCAATCATACAACAGGTGGAGTTTAGTTGAATCTAAAGCACGCTCTTATTGGCTGATTTATTTAGTATTTCTTATTTATTGTTAGTTTTTTTACTTTTGCAATAACACAAGGGAAACAATACTTACAATGCAATTACGAACAGCACACTCTTTACGCTACCTACAGCACTATACCCTACTTACATTATATTGCTCTAATTATTTACATTGTTTAAATTGGTTGATTTACGTTAACGTGGCAACAGCTAAATGAAATGTCGCTTGGTGGTCAACAATTGAGCAATTGTCGCTCGATCTCCCACTAACTAGAGGCGACTTTTACCTATTACTTTACACTTAACTATCAGCTGTGGAACATAAAAACTTATTTACTTCTCCCCAGCGACTCAAACAGTCACTGTAGATTTCCCTCAAATATCGATATTTCACTCGACTTCCTTTCGAAAACATCAAGAATCTTGGGAAATCGAAAACTAGCGGTTTCCTCGGGACCAGGTGCTATCATTCCCTGTGTATTTTGTTCACATCCTCATTGCTAAATACTCATTGCTTACTTCGCTATGCCATTTTCATCGTTTGAACTAAAAATGGGTTGACTGTGTAAAGTTGATTTATATTTAACTACATCCAGCGATCGACGAATCACTTGTCGTTTTCCAATGATGTTTACTCTAGCCATGAAGGGCAGTCAAGCAATGTACTAAACAAAGGTTTGCACATACCCCAAGAAAACCCATAGAATAGCTTCATTTTTACAAGAGTGTTGAAAACTTTGACAACCATGAGGTACAAGTAGATTCCCTCCATAAGCATCCAGGCAAATCCGACCAGATAAAAATAATGGATAGACACTGCTACAAAAATACAAGCTCCCTGTGAAGGAATAATATTATTAGAGAATCAGTTTAGCTCTTCCACGTTAGTTAATAAACAAAAGAAAAACGAACAAAACAAAGCAAAGCGAAACAAAGAAACAGCTGAACAAACAAACAAACGCACAAAAAACACACAAAATAAGTATTGGATGGTAATTGGTTAATTTTTATCTAGATGCAATTACCTGTTTTGATGTAGCATCAATTCCAGCGAGGAAAATGATTTGTGCCACGGCTATGGCTATGACTAGATTGAGTCTTATCTGACACTGCTCCTGTATGAAGTCCCTGTAGAGAAGTTCAAGACAAAGCATGTTAATTTACACGGAAAAACCATAGAAAATGTTTTCTTAGTGGTCCTACTATGATAATGGAGGGTTTACTTACATCAAAACCAGATAAGCGAGAACAGTTAAAGTTTCACCCACAAGCGACAGACTACAACCAATATAAGTAATGACTTTCAAGGCGAACTGATGTCTGTCAGGAACCTACATGTCAGGAAGAAAAGATAACTGGACTTCAGCGCAATTTAATTAGGGTCCCTTAGACTATCTGCGATCCATAATGAAATATATAATATATAAGTATAAATCTACTAGCGTTCTATCATGAATGACGTTCTCTGATTGGCTACGCTACTCACTATCTATTCTGTGATAGATAGTGAGTAGCGCAGCATTGTGCCCTTGTAAACAAATGACGGCTCCTTCTTGGCGTTTTCGAAGTGTCTGTGAAGAGTATGTAGATAAAATTGTAGATTTTAGATTATAAAATTTTAGATTATGCGTGATAGTTGACGAGGGCGCAGCGATAGAAATCTGGAGCTCATTATCTAACTGTTTAATATATGATCCAATCAAACAACAACACTTAGCCAGCGGTCAACTTAAAAAAAAAGCATACGATCTTGATGAGGTCACAACATGTGCCCGCGATATGGTCTCGCGCGATACTGGTCAGCGGATACCTTGTTTCGACAGGTGTCAATTGACCATAACATGGACGCACAATATCAAACTGAACGACCTGGTCGACTATTAGCTGGAGTGTGGCCGCCATGTTGCGTCGTCGTCGTAGGGCGCACGCGCCCGGGAGTCATGCCGCTATCCATGTTGACCGTGAAAAAAGAGTTGCATGGTTTTCTAGTGCTATCCATGCATATGGTTCTCCTCCTTATGGTACTCCGCTTGGCGGCCTTTCGGGCCGACGGAGGCCCGCAATTATGCATTAAAAGAGGTAACCAAAAAATAAAACTGGATTTACTGACCAAGATCCTGCCCCTACAAAATGTCGTAAACTTTTTCGTAGGGTTAAATGATTAAAATGCTCTTTGTTGATTAACACTTCTCTCAGTCACATTTCCATAAATGTATTTAGAAATAAAGAAAAAAGATGTGAAAAAACGGCAACACCATCAACAACAAATTTAGAAGGATTTACTCACTTTTTTTCCTCCCACTTGCAAAAGAACGGCAAAGTTCGTGAGATGATTACAACTACACACAACGTTATTGTTAGTTTTGGTGATCAACGTGCATCCCCTGTTTGACCAGGAACCGTTGAATCGACTCCTGTAGAAGAAACATGCAAATAAGTGATTACCAGGTAGATTTAAAGTTTTGGACCTGGAGAAATCAAGATCATAATCAATTTAACTTAAACATATGCATGTCAGAACAAAAAAATAGCTGAAGTAGATACTAAAAATGTACCTGATTTCAAAGTCCCAGAATACACAAATTGGCGTATCATCAAGTTTAGAAGACTTAAAGAAAGAAAACGAAAACAGTTTCAATAAAGGGAATGTGAAAGGGCTAAATTATAATATAGCCTACTTTGTATGGATTTAGAGTCAATTTTTAAAAGACAATTAAGAAATAAACTCTTTCTCGTTACTTCTTCGCTTATTGTAATTGTTATCGTAATTCATGGTAATTTTATGGTGATTGTACTTCAGTTTTATGTCATGTATTCTAATTTTAGTTGAGTAACACCAACAAAGAGCCCACCTGGTGAGTATTAATAAAATTTGAATTGTATATCGAGGCGCAGTGGCCTCATGGTTAGTGCTCTCGCCTCCTTGAGCGAGCGGTCCGGGTTGTGTCGTGTTCTTGGGCAAGACAATTTACTCTCACAGTGCCTCTCTCCACCCAGGTGTGCAAATGGNGGGGGGGGGGAGGTAACCCTGCGATGTACAAGCATCCCATCCTTGAGGGAGTTAAAATAATCCTAGTCGCCCCATGCTACAGAAATCAGGATAATCTCCGGCCTGATGAGCCACTTGGCCCGTGTGCAGACTTGTGTTGTATTTTAGAAAATAGCCCTATGTAAATAAGCGCGCTTATTGGTTTAAAGTAGTCTTTCTATTTAACAATTAGATTATGAGCTCGAGATTTCTATGACGGTTCAGACCTGAATTTTTTTCAGGTTTTAATTTCACAACTGCTTAAGTTAAGTGTATAACTGCGATGATCAATCAGGTCTTCATATCTTTCTCCTTAGTTCAAATATATGTTATTTCATATATTCAAGTGTATGTACAATTATGTGGTACGTCAGGGTTTTTTCCCAAGCGGTTATTTTTCCTCTGCACCTCATCATATCTTGGTTGCTTCTACTTAAAGATTATCCATTTCAATTCCAACATTGGTAATCCCTGAATAGAACAGCAAAGAATAATACAAAGCCTTTCGTTATACAGGTAGTCAATGGAAAACAATAAAAGCAGTGGCCAACATCTCCACTCACCTCTTCCAATGTGAACGATATAGTAACGTTTTTTGGCAGAGGAGCAGACAAGTAAGGATATATAGAACACGCGATGACTCGGGTTTGAAGTCTTGTATTTTTCAGTTTCTTCCTAATACATTTAAGAAAGAGAGGTGTATTAGCAAACAATGAAAGAAGCTTTTATTACGTTTTTATTTCTATATCCCTGTACGGCTGGAGACTCAATTCACTTAACTTAAACACAGAGCGATCCTATATAACGAGTCTGAGGTGATCAGCCTGCCAATCACAAATCCCAACAGACGACCAATGCTCCCATTTGATTGGCTTATTCACTCAGGTTTAATTTTAGCGCGATGCCACAAAATTCTGGAGAGCGACGGGTGTAATTTTCTGTTCTATTTTACAAGTAAGCAATGCCTTTTGAACCAAATGAACGATAGCTTCAAGAGAAGAGTTTACAAAGAAAATTGACTTTAAAATTTCAACTTCATAATTTTGTTCCCCCACTTGCGAAAGCCTATCGTATGAATTTGAGCTGTTCACTCAAATTTATAAAATGTCGTGTCTAGTTCTTTTGATGCCTGCAGAATGTCTCCTTTGAGGATTAAGAGAAATAAGTTTGGAAACTAAAACTCGTAGGAAAAAAAAGATGCAAGCAGACTGCGAAGGTAATATATTATATCTACGGAAGTGTGGTTATGCTTCGGCCAGTTATCTAAAAGAGAGTTCATAAGGTGAACATTGGCTGCTGTTTTACTCTTGCTGCTAAAATTCAGTCGGCCTTTTACGAACGCAATTTTTGTTCCTTCTTCTTTAATTTCTTACGTCAATATTCAGGCGAAATCTCACTTTGCCATTTTTCTCTTGTTTCTTCGTAGTACTTTTTGTTTCCAATTTCTTTGCTCTGAATATAGAACATTTTGAGGAATTACTCAGCGTTGTTGAATTTGCATTTTGTTTGCAATATCATAACGCTCATAATCTGAAAATTTTAAATATCCCACCAAAATCCGTCTGTCTTCACAGCCGGCCTAACTACAATCACCTCTTACGAAATATGTTTTCGTTCTCGGCATGCTGAGATAAATGGAAACAGATAGCTCGTTTATCGCAGGCATCAGCTTTGTTATTTTAGTTAGTTGTGAAATTCGAATGTTCCGTGAAGTGACGAAGAAAATTCATTGTTTTTGTTGTTCTAAAGTGTTGATTTAAGTTTCATTTTCACTTTGTTTTTATTATTTACCTTATATTATTCTACGTGAATGACTCCGTTGTTTTAACGAAGAAAACGATGTTTCTCCACGACTTCTATGTTACACGACCGTTATTTCGGCTTTCCACCATTGCTCAAAAAAGCCAACAAAGTGCTTCAAAGGTGGCGTGTCCTTGTCTTTTATAGGATCGCTCCGTGTTTAAGATGAGTTGCCCATGCATGTTTGATTCCCCCACTATCCAATACATACCCATCAAGGAATGAGTGACTTTCATCTGGGAGTAACTTGTGCATGTCTTTATATAATATTCCAACCACAAAAAATTCTGAAGACCAGAAAAAACAAATTATGTCACAGCTTTTCGTTAACAGAATAAGACGATTGCTAAAACGTACATCGGCAACAGCAGAATCCCATCACGATAATAACACTATCTCTAACCTACATATGAACTCATGTTGAATGATCTTGCTCTCCTTGAGTTCTCGTAGCTCAGTGGATAGAGCGCCCGCCCGGTGTTCGGGAGGTCATGGGTTCTATTCCTGTATTTCTGTCGGGGAACTCAGATTTTTTCTTTGTCCCACGCTCTTGTCATGTTGATCAATTCACCTTTCACATTATCTATAATCGCTTATCTTATTTTAGTTTATATGCTACATTTTTCGTTCAAACAGGACCCCAGTACTCATATACTGAAGGGTTATCCTGTATAATTATGATTATTATTATTATTATTATCGTTATCGTTATCGTTATCGCTGTCGCTGTCGTTGTCGTTGTCGTTGTCGTTGTCATTGCTATTGTTATTGTTTTGTTATTATTGTTATTATTATTATTATTATTATTATTATCATTATTATTGTTTCAAGGATTGATTAAAGCTGTTGTCTTGTCATAGGGAAAACGTCAAAATGCTTCTATAATGCTTTTATTTTGCTTCGGTGATTACCATATCCTGGATACTGAAATGAACGCTCACAGATCAACCTTTCGAATCCCTCACACTAACAAACTCTTAAATCCGATTGAGCGTTTGATTTGTGATGATATTAACCCTCGGACGTACAAAGTTTTGAAAAGACGATTTACTCTAAGAGGCTGAACCTTATACCTTGTTTTCCAAAGAGTTCTGCTGGTAGAACTATCCTTCCATTTCCATCACCAAAGTGTTCTCTGTCGTCCTCCGACGGAAACCATACGTCATTTTCATGACCAACGCTTACACTTCGAACCTCCATCACTGGAAACATCAGAAAATGTTATAAATTGGATTAGGTGGAAAAGCTGGTGAAAATATCCTATTTGTCTCTTAATTGGCGCCTACCTCGAACATCCCCCTCCCCCCGGTAAACAAAAAAGGTGGAAGTCGGTGGAGCCTCCAGTAAATAATGAGGGAAGAACATGGCTTGCGCGAAACTCCTAACTCAAAATGTATACATATTTTGTTGATATGACTGTAAATATATCATAATCATTCAATTTGTCGGAGATCATGACGTACCCTGAAGAAGTAACACTTTTGTACAGCCTTCGTATAAAGGTCCTTATGAAAGCTCGATAGGGTACCGATTTAATGTAGCGGACCATTTTAAAGTTGCTCTAGTAACTCACCAAAGTGCCCTCCAGTGTTAATTATGTTAGCATCGGAGGTTCTATTTGTCGTTAGATGTTTCATCGCGTAATTTAAAGCAAATGTCTCAAGCTGCTGGGTGGCTACCAACAAATTTGTCGCTGTTTTGTAATAGGAACTGTCATTGAAATATGTCAGTAGCCTTGATGTTTCATTCACGGCAATCTAAAAAAGTATAGTCACCAATATTAAAACAGATTAACACTTGGTGGAGTCTGCAATTAAAGTCATTGGCCAATTAGAAAAAAAAAAAAGAAAAAGAAGAAGAAAAGACGGCGAGAATGCGTGACGGCTGGCACGATAACAATTATACCATGAATTAATTTAAATCTTACCTTGAAATTTCCCAAATATCTAGTCCTGTTCAGTGCGCCTATCGCTCTGAAACCTTGTCAAGCTAGATATGTAATAAACGAGTTCTTTTCCGATAGCAACACGAAAACTAAGCCGTCGAGGAGAACGTTGTCTAAAATATGTAAAATTCGGTCATCTCACGTTATTTTGCATGCAGAGAACATGTAAAACATGTAGTAAGATGCAAAACGCGCCTGCGCCTGTTCTGTTTGATAAATCGTTTTTGGCAACGTTCTCTATACCATTTGCCGAAGCTCTCTAATAGCATGAAGAAACAAGGAAATCGACCACTCCTGCAGAGCATGTATATGTTTCACAGGGAATTTGTTAGAATCATTATACAGCTAACTGGGCAGATATTTTGGGTGTTCATTTTTTCCGCCAAAAATACTTACATAACACAATCCCCCTGCCAAGGACACATTTTTTCTAGCCGTAAATAACCTTTGACTGGTCGACGAGACAATCAGTGATAGAACTTATCCCCTGGGAGAAAGGGTGACAGCTAGTTACCTGCAGAGAATCTTCTTCGTCAACACTGAGCTGCTTCAATTTGATCAGATATTCTGTTATCTTTTAATTCAAAAAGAGAAACACAATATTATCAGGTGATGTGTATACCAAACGATTTTTTTTTGACATTTATGCTCGGTGGTTATCGAGTTGGAATTCCAATTTTTGGAATCGAGTCCTTTTCATGAACGATGTATGTATACTGCCATATACCTACACCATTATTATTTCCTTCAATATTCAGGTTTCGATGGCAAGAGTCAAAAAAGAAAAGAAGTACGATAGGTTTCGCCGCTTGTATGTGCCCAAGTGAAGGAAGAGGATGAATATATAAACGGATCAAAGCTGTGTACATGTACATAAATTGAATGATTGACAAATATCAACGACGAGTGTTTTGTATTTCAATGGGATGGGGCAAGAGATCTGTCTGCAGTGACTTATTAATAATGGAAGTAAGACTGAGTGGAGTCCAATTCGGTCTGTAATCATACGAGTGATTAAAGAAAAGCACAAATTTTCTCAAAAACTTTCTTTTTCGCCATAAATCGGTCCAATTGACTATTCTTAGTCTCTAACGAGCGAAATTTGGCTCGATGGAGGAATTCATACATTTTTGGTTAACAAAATCGGAGGACCGCGAAGTGGGAGTCCGATTTGTTAATCACGAGTATGATTACAGACTGAATTGGATGACACGATGTCCTGCTAACAATTAATCATAACCATTACAATTTCCCACAATTTGAAAAATAACTTTTAATACTGAGTCATTTTTAAATATCATAATTAAGAATTTGGGAATAGCCTGCAAAATGACTGTCAAGTTTCTTTCAAAACAGTCATCGGAAACTAAACCTCCACAATTTTACAAAGTCAGTCTCTTGAATTGGTTACTATAGTAACTGTAATCAATGTTGTGATTGGTGGATTTAGTGAAGAGGACTTAAAATGATTGGCTCATGTAACTGTCCGATTACAGGTGTCCGATTACAGCTAACTGTCCGATTACACTGTCCGATTACAACTTTGCAGATAAAATAGAGCAAAATACATCAGTTTATGCACCAATCACATTTGAGGAAATTGTAATTGTTATGATTAAGCTCGGAATCGGAGACATATATTTAAAGATCAGTTCTTCAAAGCAACAGATATGAAGGGTCATTGGCTTTCAAAGAAAAAAAAACATATCGTTCCCAATTTACTGGTACATTACATTTGCAAGCGGGAGAATACTGCGATTAGGGGTGGTGAATGGTAAATGTGAAAATTTGGGAGAAGGCGAGACTAGCGTTTTTCCTTGCGAGCCCGAGACAGTTTGACCGCTTCAACTGCGAGACCGAGACTTCACAGATGCGAGCTCGAGACGTTGAGGTTCTAAGACGTTCAGAAGTCATTTAAGCTTATATAAAAGAAATAAACTAGTCGGTACTTTGAAACTTTCTTAGCCTTGAAAAATAGTGAGACTCTGAGACAGCTTTGTGAAAAAAATCGAGACTGCGAGACGCACATAACTGCTAAGAAAAACGAAACAGCGAGACCGTGAAATGCGGCGAAAACTTTGCGAAACCTAAGGTTTTTAAAGGACCATTCGCCACCCCTTGTGATTGCACCCTGTAATAATAATAATAATAATAATAATAATAGTTATAATAATAATAATAACAATAATAATAATAATGATAATAATAAAAAACACGACAATCACCTTTTCCTCTAGATCTGCACTTGTTGGTAGCGTGTTTGAAATACTGGTGGGCACAGGTGTAGAAATACTTATTTTTTTTGAAGCCAAAATCTTAGTCGTATCTGTTGCTTTATTTTTAAATGTTGCTGTCACTTCAGACATCAACCTTGTAGCCATAGTCGTGGGTCGTATTTGTGTTGATTTCAACTCTGTCATACCTGTTGATAAGGCTGCAAAGGTAATCGATATTGTTTTAGGAATGGTCAAAGACTGAAGTATACCTTAATTTTGCAATGGAATTGAAGGCGCTAACACTTTGTCTTTTCTCAGTGCCTAAGCCGCCTTCAGTTAGTTTTAGGACATCGTGGATTCTCGGCATCCTTTCGTGCATTAGAAATTGTATGACGATAAACAATGTATGACTTCTAAAAGTTTATGAGCGTGCACGAAGATTGTAAAAATGCGCATAGTAAATTAAGTATATTTTGAAGGAATTTAAACTGTATTTTAGTTGTTGGATTCGTTCCACAAGGCCTAGGAATAGGTCCGAGATGCGTAAATGTGTGGCTTACCCGTAGTATTGGGAAAAAGCAAGGTGGATCGCTGGTTATTATTTAGATTAACTCCCCAATAAAGGGTTTGAATAAACGAAATTTTCCCAATTGGCTATGATTTAGTTTGATGTTGCATGCTTTAGGGATTAGCTTAAGTGCTAGCGAAGAGGTTTCGTTGCTCGAGGCAAGACAGAATCAATTCACATGATTTCTTTCTTTTCTCTTTTTGCTTTGAACACCGTATTATGATAAGATGTAAAAACAACAGCAACAACATCGTCAACAGCAAAACAAAAATTTAAAGAAACAAAGCAAAACGAAACGAAACAAATCAACAAACAAAACGAAAAAGAAAAAGAAATGGCCCACGAACAAGAATATTTAAATACGTGTAACGGATTTTCCATGCAAACCTTGGCCTGCGTTTTGTTCCATCGAGGCATAGTTAATGGAGCGGGCGGGAAGTGGGGGTAGGGGTGGGGATGGTTATGGTTATGAAACCCGACAAAGATTTTTGTTGTATGCTTTTGTTCGGTTTTAGGTCTTGACCGTGCACAACCGCCTGAGCAACTAGTCTGCGATAAACCGGTTTTTTGGTGTGCAAAAAGAACGCCTGATCGCAGGCTCCCGAGTAACTAGCCGATATAATCGTTTCGGTTTCGTAATTCACGCATCAATCGTCACTCAATCAATTAATCAATCAGTCAATCAATTAATCAATCATTTATTTTAACACGTTTCGTCGAGGAGCTAAGAACTCGTTAAAAATACGAACGTGTATAAATTAAAAATGAGAACGATAGTGATTACAGCCAATAATATTATTCTATTCTAGCTAATAATATTATGCTATTTTAAAACAACTTAAGGTAATTCCTCTGAAATAAAGGTGACAATAGATTTTTGTTCAAACTTTGTCCACTGAATATTTATCATATGATTACTTCAATTTTGAAATAAAAAAGGGGGGGGGTGCCCATGCTCATTAAGGAGCAGTGAGGCATTGAAAATGCCCCATTTTGGCATTATTTAATGCTTATTATAAGAACGCATTCCCAGTAATTGTAAAAT